AACAGAGCTTTTGTAACTCTGACACACCCAAAGTCTTTATCTCATCACCAACAAGGCTCATCGAAGACGACAAAGCTCTACCTCGTCTGGCACATGCCCATTCCTTTCCATCTTAGAGATCTGTGCATGGTCCACCAAATGCATGTATAACACTAAACTGTAAAAAATAGGTGGTTTTGTTCAAAAAACGGACGAATACTTTCAGTGACGTAACTAGAAATCGAAAACAGTAATGAACGTATTAAAGCATTCACATCCAGAACTTCGAAAATTTTCTTCGGCCTCAATTTCGTGGCATTCTTTTTTACAAGCACATGTTTGTTTTTGTTTGCACTAACTGAAGTAATTAAATTCAAATATTAAACACTTGCGGGCCTGCTTTTCATGGTATTTGGAAGTTTGTTTGTTTAATTTCTTGATGGCCTCGAACGTAAGTAAGATTGATGGTATTCCAGTGGCTATTTTCTCCATCTGAGCTGACTCACTCCACGGAGTGAGCCTACCTCTTACTTCCACCTGCTAAGCGAAGAAAGAACATCAGACTCGTCCGTTACAAGATGCCATTCAGTAACCAACTCTTCTATAATAATAGCCAACTAAACCATCGACCGATGACACGTATAAGACATATAGTTTTAATGTTTATTTGGAGACCACACTAGTGGGAAAGTGAGGCGAGAAAACCTACTCAAGCGCACGTAAGTGAACTCATTATTAATTACCATCCAATAGATAAAGAGAGCCCTGCGAATTATGGATAAGATGTGGTTCATTCTTCGTTACTCGTATCATCCCTCTGAATCCCTTAATCACTAAGTATCCCTGAGTGACCATAGATATTTGTGCTGAATATACCTCACATCAGCCCCTTAGAAGCGACGTCTCTGAGAATGTCGGCCCGGCTGACTTATCTTTAGGAGATATATCTAGGGGTCTCCGCTGAGCGCATTTGTTATCGACTGGCGACTTTAGAAGTGAGCTCTGTTGGGACTATGATGTCGGCTGACAAATCGTCACTTTCAATCTCCACACGAAAATGCCATATATACGTAGTAAATGTATATGAAACAGGTCAAGGTTTTCTACTTAACATTTTGTAAGGCACGGCAGAACTGGCACTCACCAAACAATTTTATTGCTCATCTCCCCCATTTAAGTTCCTATATCATAGTGCCACATGTTGAACCATATTTTGCACATGTTCTACAACACGGTGGTCAGCTGCCAAAAATTGACTTTGCAGTTAAGAGTGCGTCTTCCCAGATCATTAGGCATGGCTTTCTCAATGCCTTAGTGGCACAGGGGTTAGGACTCTCGCTGACCATGCACATGGTCCGGGGTTCGATCCCCTGCCGATGCACACCTGATATCAGTGGCTGGCCTGCGAAATTTGGGCTACCGATATCACATGCTGGAAATTTGAAACTTGTATCAACAAACTGTGTGGAGTCAAGCTACAATAAAAAAACAAGGAGTGCGTGGACCGGGAATCGAACTGCGGACCACATGCATGGTCGTCGAGTATTCTACCGCTGTGCCACCAACGCACAATGTGCTCTTTCGAACAGTTTGTTTGGATATAATACGTCAAGACACTTCTGGAGAAACGGTGTAACAACTTATCTAGTGTGAAGGGCTGTACAATCAACTGAGAGGATGTAACTGTCCTTACATAGGCAGAGAGCGCAAAAATGTCGTTGGCATCAGTTTGTACGTATGTACGTTAAATTGAGTCCTGAACACTAGAATGTGCGGTGCAGTATCATTACATCAGTTCACATAACCTGCTGTGTATGACGGACTTCGCTTCCTAATATCATGTCAACTTACTATATTTAGAACCTGTTTAAGTTTTCACTACATGTTGTTTTGACGGACACGGTGAACACGTACAACGGGTTGAAGGCTAATATTTGCATTTGCTCGAGGGTTCAGCAATACCACACTGGCCATACTGATGGCTTTTAGCCCCCCACGCAGTATGAAAAAGTCTTTCCTAAGTAGCTTGGGTACGACTGGAAGGGAGCAGAAAGGAAGTGTTGGCAGAATGTCAGATCGTCCTAACTCCCTTACACAGAACGTAAAACCAAATCGATGTGGAAACTAACATGGTGCGGAAGACCAGGAGAGTTCAGGGGTAATACATGGTCCAAGGTATTAAACATTCGATTTGGTTTTAACTTCAGTGCCATCCATAATGGTGGAGCCGTGCGAACTAACCAGTTCATATAAGTCGTGCCTGCGTCTGAAAGGGAAATTAACGTCCTAACATTTGCAGGGATTAAGCTTTAGACCATTTGGCGAAGACCACCGACTAATTTCTGATAAAAAGGTATATATTTTGGAACAGTCTGTCTGCGAAGTAACCGTTGGCATAGAAATAGACAGACCACCAGCATACTTGACAAAATGGGGAAAGTTACTTAAGAAGGAAAACAGAAAAGGAGGAAGAATAGCTCCTTCAGGAACACAGGCTAGGGTAGGTTAAGCAGTGGAGTTATCAAGTGCCTCATGTCAGAAAAATAGGAATGCAACCACTTGGTAATCTAGCACTGTGCTTGTGATGCAGCAAGCTTCTTTAACAAAAGAGGCCTAGGTGCGGATTCAAAAGCAGATGTGTAATCCAGGAAGGCACACTGAACATATTTGGCACTTTTATCCAAGCCAGAAACAACTATTATGACTTAAGAAGACAGTGGCATCTAAAGTACACCTACTATGTTTATAAACAAATTGACGGGGGTCTTTAAAAGCCTTCAATGAAGGTCCAAGGTCAAGTAAAAGCAATCTTTCCGTGATTTTTAAAAGTGGTGAAGTGATGGAAATAAGTATAAACTTGTCAATTAGTCCACTTGATCATCTACGCACAGGAACAATTTTCAGGTTTCGGGGATTCGATACACTTGGGGGCATCATTTGTGTTAGAATCCGAGAAGCAGTTATTACTTGCACTTGTAGCATTCTAAATCATAACATCAGCTGGACGACACGTGAAGGATTTATTACGAGTACCAGCATAAACTGTAGAAGGATCATTATTTATCTGCTTACCCCAGGTGATTTCTTTAAATAGCTTCCACATTTTTGATGAGGCTTTGCATGACAAGAACTTACGTTATAGGTCCTAATTAATCTCTGAATTCGTGATTTAATTAAGATGTTCAGTCTCCTTACTCAAGGATTGTGTTTCATTTTGTTTAACATTTCTTTTTCTCGGCGAAAATTTTTGGGCTGAGATGAGGAGAAGCGCTCAAATCTTTTGGACAATAAACATTAAGACAGAATTTGAAATAACATGTTGCGTTTGCGATTGTGTCATCTAGAACTTGTTCAGTAAATAAACCCCCGTTTGTATCATTTAACGTGCTCCTTCGATTATTTATGTTGCCATGAGTTGATTTTTCTTGCCAAGATTCAAGAAGGCCCTTTTGTGCAGCTTTGCATATGTTTCGGACAATATACGTGTGATACAATGATCAGAATTGAGTGGAGGGACCCTTTTTGCAGCCTCAAGTATGCCGAAGTCATTTGTAAACACTTGATCGAGAATATTTCCTAGTCGTGTTGAGAACTATACTATTTTTCATGACCTAATGAATTAAGGAATATGCAGTCACAAGAATTGAAGTCGCCAGTGACTACTGACAAAGAGTTTCCCAGGGAGGTGGCAGAAAAGGAAGTAAAATCATCGGCAAGTAAAGATAGTTCTGAGAGGCTGTAATACAAATGTTTCATATGTATGTAGTTATATTTTGGAAAGTGTTTCGGTCGCAATTTACCAGCCAGACAATCAATTTAGTCACTAGAAAACATACGTTATTTGAGGTCCACCACTGAGAATTGATGGAGGATGCAACGCCACCACCGCATTTATTTTTAGGGCTACCTCAATCTTGTCTGAGTAATTTGAAATCATCTGGATAGATTAAATTATCATAACGTGGGTCAAGGAGCAAGGCTTCCTGAGGAGTCTCAATACCTGCATTGAGATATACACCGGAGGACACGAAGGAGTGCAGAAAGTTAATTTTAAATGGCAGGGGGCGACAGTTTGAGCTCATAATCTCAAGAATAGTCATTTGATGTTGCAGCCGTAAATAATTCCCCAAAATTATTGACCACAGCAATCATCACTGAACATTGTATGCTGACACTAACTGTTTAAGTCGACTTGTTTGACTGAAGGCTCCCACTCAAGCCATTTGGTACTCCGTCGTGTCACGTTCGTGCACGATCACTAGTCAGTTAAGCATTCATCTCGATCTACGATTTGGTCCAGAAATATATCTCGTAGTTTGGACGATTAGCTCTGGTCTTTTGTTTTGCCTTTGGTCCACGAGGAACGAATACTATAGAAGTTGTTGGTATTTGATCTTGCATTAGTATACTCCGTACAATCCGCGAACGTCTATACCGCCAGCCTTTAAAATGTATTGGAACAATTTTAAAGCATGCTGCCACCCGGAATGATGCTTTTTAATCGGTTTTGTGAAAATTTGCAAATCCATAGGTTTGAAGCATTTTAGCAATTTGCCAGTAGAAACAATGCGACTGGAGTCCAAGTTTTCAAAAGTTTGATCAGCTAAAACCGATTGGACACGAGGAATTCGATGCAATATTATGGTGGATGGATATTTCGTAGCCCAAGTTTTGAGCAGGATGTCGCAGGTGCCCTCTAGCCTGATAAAAAATGCTTTTATTCAAAACACTTTGGCTTCACTCTCCTGTGCCTCACTTTTATGAAGCTCAGTGCTTTAGGAGTCCAAGGTGTTTACTCTCCATCAGCAGGAAAGGTGTAGACTCTTGTGATCATTGAAGGAATAAATCAAATAAACATTTTGGGACAATGAAAAGATGCAGGAGTGAGGAAAATATGATTTTATTCGATTTGACCTGATACCACTGATGTATAACAGGTGTGCCTGGACCATATCCATTGAACAAAGCCCTCTATGGCGTATGACTGACACGGTTAAAAATTTGCGCTACTTTAATTAGCGATGGTAGATCGTGGTGGTGCATCGGGTTCTCCCGTTACACACTCCAGACCACGAACCGATCGTCCTCGAAAAAGGTTGGGGTTTCGCAGTTAAATCGTTTTGTCAAATGTTTACCCATTTCATGCACAGCTAGCCATATCTTTCGTTTTAGGAGTCGCCGAAGTGCAACCCCAGGATGATTGAATAAGTACGAATGATTTATTAACTTGTCGTTTGCATCAACCCAAACTGAAGTACTTGTGTTGAATCTTTTCAGGCACCGAAATAGTAGCAGTGCCTCAAGTCGAGCCAGTTCTCCCGGTTCCCTTTTAGTCAGTGAAAGCAAACGCAATGGCAGAAACGACGATTCCCGTAAGCGTGACGAACAGAGGGCGGAAGAAGATAGGATTCTGTAAGTTCGGATGTCATCGGTTGTTTCAATTTCCTTCAAAATGTACCCAGAAATGTTTAGTGATCTATCCGTTTCGTGAAATTCCAGTTCACAAACTGGTTGTTTGCTCATGTTGTTTTCTGAGCACCCATCTAACACAACACAAGGAGCGTCATTCCATAAGTTGTCACGAGCTTCCTTTCTTTAATGCAGCAAGAGTTCATTCACATCTTATTGTGTTAAGGCCGGCACTATTTGCTGTTATACGAGTAGTTCCCTTTAATAATATCCTTGGCTAACTAGAACTCGGTGAATAAACTGTGCTGCGTGAGTTCCAAAACAAAACCTTGCACAGAAGTGCAGCAGTTCGAGTTGCCAAACTCAGTTTAACACGAAACTAGACAAGAAAGAGGAAAACGTCAGGTTGGAAATTAACAATAATCGGCAGGAATGTGTGAGAAGAGTGTGGGGAAGGGAAGCAAAACGACGGTCAAGTGGGTATAGGGGATCACAGAAAGTGAGTGGATCCATAACTGTCAGTCCTATCACCGACATTCTCCAGCTATCGATTGTTAGCATCCTGGGGACCTCAACCAGGGAGTCTACACCTCCTAACATGGTTCAAGTCGACTGTCAAAGACTTCGTGGATTGGTGCCACGTTTTGGTTTAACCAGTCGTAACCCTTTTATAACGTAATATAATGTTGGCTAACATTTCCCACCGAGGAAGGCGACTGCTTAGCATGCGCAACACATGACCTCAACATGTCTCAACCGATGTTGCTCCACATACACTCCTTGCCTAACATCATGCCTGGTCTCGGTATTACTAACAATATTATACAACTGAACACGTGAAACAGAACTCAAACATCTGTGGTAAAAGACATCTAGTCTTTTCAGATCGTCCACTTTTAGTGGCCATGTCTCACAGCCATGGAGGAGGACAGAGTGAACTGCTGCTTGGTACATACACCCTTTGATTGATATTCGGATATCACATCTACGCTTGGAATGACGTAAGTTGGCAACAACACGTTCGACCACTTCACTCCCTGTCTTTACACAGGAATCAGCACAGTCTAGTCCTGCAGCATCATCTTACATTTGGTAGGGGCGAATCTCATGCAAAACATCCTAAGTTGTTTGTTCATGGTGTCTAGAAGACTACACTTTGTCAGCGTCTTCACCCAATAGGACGTTATAATCCGCATACTCCAAGTCAAAAAGACTTCTCTGGTAACAAGCCAATTTTTGACTAGATAAATCATTTAGGGTCAATTCCACTAGTACTTGAGACATTTATTTTTACTAGGTTAGACTATTTTCACAATAGATCTACTCGTGGTATATTTATAGTCTGCACTGAATACGATCTGATTATTCAGTTGTTGACTGTTCATCCACCTATTCTCCGTGTTTCATTTTGCATTCGTGAAATTTAGTGCATGCTGAAATAAATACTACAGAAGACCTTGAGTTTGCATCTGTTTCACACTGCCAGAAGTGTTTTAGGGTTTTCCCTTCACTTTATCGGTGATAGGTCTACCTCCAGGCAAACATGTCTTTGAAATTACTTGTCAAACGACATAGCCCTGTGTGGTTGTCGTTTCACCTACGAAACATTTTGTCCTCAAAGAGGATACATCAAATCTCAAGTCTTCCTATCACAAGCAGGTTGCAGCCATACCACTGCTATTATTCAAATTCTGTTTCGGTAAATTAAAGTAATTGTAAACCTCAGATAGACTGCTGAGAGGCTATTCTCAGGAAACACAAGGCGAATAGGTTATGTTTTAACATTTAATTGGTGAAGCTTGATAAACGTCTCAAATATTCCAAAGCTATAGGAATTGTTAGTTGTTGCTTAAATTTTCCTTGACCTTCATGTATAGGCTAGCTTGAAGCTTAAGATCCTTGGGACTAGACATATTCACCCATCTGACTATGCATCAGCTGCATGAAGAGGAGATTAACACCACCTTTCGATATATTACAACAGTATCGTGATGATTTTTCTATTCAGTTTCCGAGACCAACCGTTAAGGAACTGCCTTAACTAAAGTCGACTCACTTCAGTTTCCTGTAACAGCATTTTTACGCATTGTTAAAATGCATGCTTCATTAATCCCCTTCATCCACTACCCGAATCGGGTCATGACTTCAAGCACCTGTGTGTGTAATTTTTTCCGAACAGTAATCGCACGCAAACTTCACACTGATACATCTGAACAGCGTCGGGCCGGTTAGTCATGCATTGGATCACTTACTGTTCAACGGACTTTTGTTCTCACATATCAAGACCACCCAACACTTGGTGGTGAACTTACATTTTATTAACTTTGTAGGCTTGCTAGTGTATTGACCCAGTTTACTTATTTTTGACGTAAAGCATGTCATCATAGTTGTTCGTGTTTTGGTCTCTGGATGGTACGAGTACTTGGATTACTGATCTATTAAGACGAATAACCAAGGAAAATGTACACATCGATTTGAGCATGTTTCTCATAATGCTGAGTAGTACGTCGAAAAGTCAAGTTTTGCATGCGAAAAGTTGTCATATTTTGGGTAGCAGTTACAATATTTAAATTCCGAATTAATGCGGAGATATAAGAATAAAACTTGGGCACTGTGGTAGAGTGTAATTCCATTATGGGTAAATTTTAATTTGATGGAGTCTCACAGTGTTATACAGTAATATTTACTGATGACGTTTCGAGCACAAACTATTGCTCATAATCATAAAAAGTTTTTTGAGCGTCTGTTAGTAGAGTCGAAACCCTTTGGAATTTCGTATTTCATGGATCGTGTTGCGTATGGTGAGACTTTACAAGCTACATTAATCAGTTTAATGATCCTGTAGATATTAAAATCAGGTCCCCACTTTTGTTCTATATCTAGGTGTCTTTTCACTTATCAGATTATGAGACACCAATTGTGAGGATTGACAATACTACCTAGTTGGCTATGTTAGATTAGGTGAGATGGGACCCAAACTCGGAACCTATTGGTTGGAAATCGGGCGCTTAGGCCAATGAAGCACATCATGGGATGGGTATGTACCGTTAAATATTAGTATTGCTAGTAGTGCAGCCCGGGATTATAATGTGATTTTCCGAGTTGTATGACTGCTTCCACCCCGTTTCACAATAGATGAATACTTCCAAAGTCACTTCGAACTGAAGGAGTATCGCACTATATTTTGTCCAGTCTTCTGCACGACACTGAGAATTTTATTTCACTTTTTACGCATGTATTGACCAGCCCACATGGCTTTTACTTTTTACTGTCTTACAGTCGTCAGCGGTGGGCGGAATCTAAACTCCTTGAAGAAGAGGTCGCTCGACGTCTGGAGCGTTATTTAGACTCTGAGCTAGCAAAACTACTCGTTTTACGCAGAGTACAGTTCAATGCTGAAGTTGAACGTCGAGTAGAAGCTGAACGAGCCGAAGTCTTGCGTAGAAGAGCCGAGGAGGCTGAGCGCAAAGCTCGAGAGGAGGCGGAGGCTTTAAAGCGACGTGAGGTGAGTTTTTGTGTTTACATATTATTGCACATGATCGTCAACGTCTCCAGGCAAGTGTGGACTATGAGTTAAGCGCATTGGATAATGACCGTTATGTAAGACGCTATTTGACAGTTTATGTGTAAAAATTGGGCACTGATAGTATATAATTTCATATTAATGTTTATTCCATATACTACACACTGAAACTGCATTATCTACTAGTTGGTGTTTCGAGAACAATTTATTACCCATAACCAGACCCATTGCAACTATACAATGGGAGAGAAGGAAGCTATCCTAACAAATTACTTGCCAGTCGAAATTCTATTGCTCTAGTCAACGAGCCATAGCTCCTTGGCACTCAAGTAGTTGCGATATCTTTGTACTGATTTCAAACCCCGTGTTTAACTGGACATAAGTAAACCCAATACAAGAGATTGTCAGTGCAAATAGCGATATCTGTAGATATGCAGTCTATTGACCCAAATAATGGTGTTTCCATCGATTAGTCTTGGCACAAGGTGCACTCAGTCAAGTTCAACCTACAAAACCAATTGCTATCTTAATGCCTCAGACATTAAGTGTGGCTCATGGTATAATACACGAAAAGAATTGCACAGAGTAAGTAGGTTGCACTGTTAAAGCGATAGGATATTTGATTCACAGTGTAAAAGTGGGCTTAATCCGTTGATATAGATTTCAATCTATTTTCAGCTTTCGTGTGCCTGTTTGTTCACATCTCGAAGATTGTAACCAAGAATCTCTCAGTACCACATGCGTTCACAACCCTTTAATAAGTTCAGAATTTAACTGCACAGAAGGGTAATATGATATCATAAAATGGTGCGTTGGAACTCGCAACAATTGACACTTACTTTTTATGGACAATAAAGTAAGTTCCAACCTGAATACTAACTGGTGTTTCATTTGAATTCATATTTTTAAAGTCTATCAACTTTCATTCTTTCCCGAAACAGGAAGAAGAAAGGCGATTAAAAGAGCTGAGTGAACGTCTTGCTCGAGAAAGGGAACGGGAATTAGAGGAACAAAGACGTTTGGAGGTAAGTGACAATTGTAACCTATGAATTTTCCTATGCTGCAATGTTGGTGTAAAATATTAGGTTTGATTACTAGTTTGAGAGGCATATAATACCTTGGGTTGTCCCTCCGAGAAGTTGAAATAACAAGACTATCGTATGTATGTATATAGTGAGTTTATTTCCTAGACCGTTGTAAATCAGGGTTAGTGGGAGTCCTAACTGTTTGGTGGGTCTCAAACTTCTTCCGAAAGAGTAGCTGCTAGATTTTTTTCGACATATTCTTACGGCTTTAATTAACAGATGATCGAGTTCTGTCGGGTTTACCACAGTGAATTTGAACTATTCCGTTATCTGAAACCCTGAATACCCGTAATCTAAGCCAGATAGTGGGAAAACGCTGGGTTCATTTTAAGCTGGTCGTTTGAAGACGTACGGGTCACTAATCACATAATTGAAGATTATAAGTATAGGTATACAGTTAATTATGGAACCTTACGCTACAAATCAATAAGGAAACAACGATAACTCCCTGGCAGAAGAGTGCATCTTTTAACAGCATTGTTGTTTAGTCGACATTGCACGGTGGTAAATGTCGCAAATTCCAGTTAAGGTGAGTTAGGAATTGCACCACAAAACTTGAAATGGCAAATAAAATTACACACCTGATTCAGTTTTCTGGTGTATACCTAGGAACTTTGACAGCGACTAAGTACAAACTGAAGATATCAAAAATCTCTCATTTTGTCCTATTTTTGTTCTGTCGCTCATTGGACTTCATCATTTACTGGATGAATAAAGTGAGGATTGTGCTGCATGGTGAATAGTTAGTCCTTTAATCAATGGTCACGATGTGAGTAATTTTTAATTTCAACCTAACCCTATGACAGTATAGGAAACAGACTTATCCTTCAACATATAAACAACTCCAAAGTCTTATCCGACTTTTTTGTCCGTCTGTCTGGATTCAACATAGAACTTGGCACCGAAGTGCAGCAGTTCGAGTTGCCACGTTCCAAAGAGCACACAAACGTAGACAAGAGGATGAGTGAAGAGAATCAATAGAGTTTTGACAAGTATAAGTGTGGAACAGAATGAGTAATGGTAGAAAGGAATATGAAAGATAGAGACTGGATACATCTGCGCCATTGACAACGATTTTGAGCCATGTCACCTATTGTCTCCGGTCATTGATTCTTAGAGTCCCGAGGGCCGCAACCCGGAAGTCTGCATCTCCCTACCTGACTCAGTTTAATTGTCAAGGATTTCATGGACTGATGCCATGTTTTTGTTTGGCCACCACTTACTCTTTTTCAACCTGCACCTATATCAGCTAGTAATGCCCGTCGGGGGAGGCGATGGTTAGGCACACGCAGCACGTGACCTAACCATCTCAATCTATGTAACTTTATAGCCTCTTCAATTGATTTTCCCTCTTTGCCCAACATTACGCCTAACGTCAACATTACCTACCTTATTATGCCGCCTAACGTGAGAAAGATATCGTAGACATCTATGATCAAAAAGACTTTTTTTACTGATTACATACCTTGGGGCAAAATTTTGTGTTATAACTGATGAGGTATGATGATATCATATCTTTGTCTACAAGCCCAGGAGAATTGTTTGTGTGTGTTGTGTACCATATGGCTAACTGTTTTCTGTTCATTTTCATATTAGGAAGAGGCTGAGCGAAAAAGATGCGAAGCAGAGCTTCGTGAACTTGAAGAGCGTCAAAGACGAGAGGCAGAGGAGCTTCAGCGGATTAAACGAGAACAAGAAATTATTCTGAACAAAAAACGGATTCGACCGAAACTTTCATTTACACTGAAAAAATGATGGTTATAATTTCATTTATTTTCTTTTCTATTTATTTTTATTTTTTCTTATTTTAATTACCTAAATGATTGTCTTTATGACTTAAAATATATACTCAAATGAGTGTAGGTAATCAATTATCCTTTCATTTTATTTGTTTTATCTGCACTTATTTTGGAAAGATGTAATTAGTTTATCAGGCACACTTATTTATTTGTGTATATTTAATGTGTCCCCTTACCCACTTATTTTATTTCTTTGTGCCTGTGTGAACTACTTTTATTCCACTTAATTTGTTCTATGTTTATAAGTGGTGCATTGTTTGTATATAGATTTATTTTAGTGGATGAATAAATTAGTGAAAAATAATCATCAGTAATGTGGCATAAATTTTCGTGCGGTTTATGCGGTCACTGTATGTATGGCTTTGTTTAGACATGTGTGTATATGCTGTGTAGGAGAGGTGGTTGGTTCATTAGCTTCAGCACTCTACCTCCAACTAATATGTCCGGAGGTGGTTGAATCTCACTTCACCTACTTCAGCCTGAGCAACTGTGTAGTGTATCATTAACCCCCAAGTATTATGTGTGGCTGATAGCCCATTCATTACAGCGTGACTGGCCTCACACAATAAATGAAATGAAGCGACAAACTATTATTGAAACTCACTGCGTGCTCGTAAAAATGATTCCAAGAAATAGTGATACATCAAGCAACTTATGCCCTTCCAACCTTAACTTTATTTTTATACTTAGTTTCCTGTATTTTACCTTTGCTCACCTTGACTTCTTAACCTTCGACAGCCTTTCGCCTTTGTTTGGATTCCAAGCCTATCTGTGTCGTTTCGAGATGTTAGTGAGTAACCCTCAAAATGGCTGTCCCCAATGTGACATCTAACACAGATATCCTGAAACCGCGTGCCGCGTTCAAGCTGGCCACCTACAATGTTCGGACGCTGATGCAAATCGGACAACAGGCAGGGTTGGTAAGAACGTTGGAAAGCCTCGCTATCGATGTCTGCTGCATTTCGGAGACTCGCATTCAAGATCCCAGTGAAGTGCTTCGATTATCCTCTCCATCTGGAAGTTCTAGTAGTATGTACCACCTGCGCTTGTCCGGGGACCCTGTGGCGTCGGCATCCGGCGTAGCTGGTGTCGGCGTCGCACTGAGCGCTAGAGCCGAAGCTGCACTGCTCGACTGGATTCCCATTAACAGTCGTTTATGTGCTGTGAGGCTGGAAGGTTATACGAAAGTAAGGAGTAGTAGGCCAGATAGGCGGTGTCTATTTGTTGTCTCTGCCTATGCACCAACGGATTGCAGCCCGGATGCAATGAAGGACGAGTTCTACCACCAACTTAACGATCTCTTGAGACAGGCGGGTCGGAGGGATATCGTAGTGCTGGCTGGGGACTTGAATGCACAGGTCGGGCGTCTGAGCTCAGAGGAGAATCGTCTAGGTGGTCAATGGGGACTACATGGTCGCAGGTCAGATAATGGGGACCGTCTTCTGCAGCTTTGCGCGGATCACAACCTATTTCTGGCCAGCACCAACTTCCGGCACAACCATCGCCGTAGCGCTACCTGGCGTCCTCCCTCTGCGAACCAAGCTTGGACTCAGATCGATCACATTGCTGTCAGTTTCCGGTTGCGAGGATGCATACAAGACTGTCGCTCCTTCTGGAGCACATGCCTGGACTCCGATCATGCGTTAGTGTGTGCCAAGTTCGTCTTGCGATTTGGTGGGGTTCATAAAAGGCGTCGTCTAAACGTTGATGTGAGCAAACTAGTAGCACCTGCTACTTGTTTGAAATATCAGAATGAGTTACAATCAATGCTTGCCAGCAACCCCCCAAGTAGTATAGATGAACATTGGCTCCATCTGCAAGGTGCCATGCAAAGAGCTAGTGTAGCCGCTTGCGGCTTGAAAGAATGCTCCGCCAAAAACCACTGGGTTTCTGCGAGTTCCTTGCAACTCCTGGATGAACGCCGGTCCATTCCGGCTGGCAGCGAATACAGCAATAAGCGAAAGGCGCTGACGCGCAAGATAAGAAAGTGTTTACGTAAGGACCGCGAGGCCTGGTGGTCAGAACGTGCGGGTGAGATGGAGGTAGCTGCTGCATCTGGCAACAGTCGGAAGCTGTTCCAACTCATCCGAGCCACCGGCAGCAAGAAACAAGGTGTCAGCGAGACGGTCTGTGAGGCAGATGGCACGCCAATTACCAGTTTGAAAAGACGCCTGGAACGCTGGGCAGAGCACTTCGGGAAACAGTTTAGCTGGCCACCAGCTTCAATGTCTGCTGTCATTAGCCCCAGTGCTCCTTGGTCGGTTAATACCGACCCACCCACCGAAGCGGAGGTCCGTAAGGAACTCCAAGTGTTAAAACGCCATAAGGCGCCCGGCCCAGACAATTTACCCCCGGCTCTTTTTAAAGATGGTGGCGAGACTCTCACAATGGCTCTAACTGGGTTGTTCAGGAAGGTATGGGAAACTGAGAGTGTACCATCAATGTGGAACGAAGCCATCATCGTCCCTATCTTTAAAAAGGGTCGACGTAATTCGTGTGACAATCATAGGGGTATCAGTCTGCTACCAGTCGCGTCTAAATTATTGGCTTCTGTCTTGCTTCGCAGGCTGTGCAAAATACGTGAAGGATTGATTCGCGAAGAGCAGGCTGGGTTTCGTTCAGGTCGTGGATGCATTGATCATGTGTTCACCCTTCGTCAGTTGTTGGAACACCGCCACACGTATTGCAGGCCAACGATCGTTGTGTTTCTTGATATTAGGGCTGCCTTCGATTCGTTGGACAGAACTGTGCTCTGGAACTGTCTGTTAGAGAGAGGTGTACCTGAGAAATTTGTTAACATCTTGAAAGCCCTATACAGAAACACCTCAGGTAGAGTGAGGGCATACAACCAACTATCATCACTGTTCCCAACCAACAGTGGGGTTAGACAGGGTTGCCCGATCTCTCCATTTCTCTTTAACTTTGCCATCGATGACATTCTGGAGTCAGCTCTGAAGGATGTGCGTGAAGGTGGTGTAGATCTGCTACCTGGAGATAGACTTTTCGACCTCGAGTATGCAGACGATATCGTCTTACTGTGAGATAGCATGCAGGCTGCCCAAATCGCACTTAATCAGTTGGCGATCAGTGTCTGTAAGTATGGTATGTGCTTTGCGCCGTCTAAGTGCAAAGTACTGTTACAAGATTGGCAGGAGCCTGTACCTGCACTCACTCTTGCGGGTGAACCGCTTGAAGTTGTTGATAAGTTTGTGTACCTGGGTAGTTGTGTGAGTGCTGGCGGAGGGGTGACGGATGAGATTTCCAACCGTATAATGAAGGCTAGGGTGGCATATATCAACTTGAGCCACCTCTGGCGCCGTCGCGATGTTAGCCTGGCTGTCAAAGGTCGGGTATACAATGCTTCGGTGAGGACTGTCTTGCTCTACGCCTGTGAAACCTGGCCTCTCCGAGCTGAGGATGTGCGGCAACTCTGCGTGTTCGATCATCGCTGTCTCCGCAGGATTGTTTGCGTTCGATGGCATCATCGCGTGAGTAATTCTGAGGTTCGGCGGCGTGTGTTTGAACACAGTGGAGATCACCATTCATTGAGTGTCGTCATCTGGAAACACCAGCTCCGGTGGCTTGGACATGTGCTGCGAATGTCATCCCAGAGGCTTCCGTACAGGTCTCTGTTCGCTAGCCCTGGGACGGGATGGAAAAGGCGGAGGGGTGGTCAGTCCATGACGTGGCGTCGTGGGATGAAGGATATTTGTGCTAGATTAGCATCGGTTGGTGTGTCACGACTCCCTGGTTGAGGTCCGCGAGATAGCTCGAATCGATGGCTCGAAACGTTATCGGATATGGCCAAGAATCGTAATCAATGGCGAACGTGCTGCAATTTCCTTCTTTCTTCCCTTCCTGATGATAGTTAATGAATACTGTTTGAACTTGTTAAACATGACTGTTTTCCTTCCTGATGAAGTTCTTTATTCGTTTTCTACCTATATTTTTACTTTTATTCTATGTTGTTTTATTATTATTGTGTGGCGCATCTTTCTTGGTGCCATATTGTACCAAGTTTTTCTGCGTTTAAATAAGTAAATAAATAGACTGGCTTCTAACTAAAATCAAGTAACATGCTGCTTTAGTTACTATGACGATATTTTTAGTTTCGTCTGTATAAACAGCAAGTGATCAGTTACAACACCTGTTTCACCAACTAATCTCTACGCTGCTGGGTTGTCTTTCTGTTGCGTACTTTGAACCTGTATGTATTCGTGACTGAACAATCGATAGTGACTGGATGGATTGCTTCTTGAGTTTCTGCTATACTTGATATGTATACTGTTGTTGAGTGCTGAGGTTGAACTCGTGCCTCTTTTTGGTATTCAGGTGTTTTCCTTAGATAATGTATCACGTCAGTCTTACTGGCTTCCTACTGTACAGAAAAATACTTAAAATTCGCCAAGCTCAAAAGTTTGATTCCACTTTTCCCCTCATACATAGGCAGGTTCTTCACCTGAGGACGCTGCTCTTAAAGTCTGGAATTCCTCACGGTTTTGTCATCTGAATTTCCCCAAATAGATTTACTATCAGGTACTTCAAAAATTATATATGAGCCTCCAAATATCTAAGAAGCAAAAGCGAACAGCAAGTCTGTGAGGCGTAAAACCCAACCACCACTCAGTTTTTATTTACCGTCCTCATATATCTTTTTTAAATCTCCCTCTTACCAGTAGTTTGATGTTTATAATTTTGTCATTTACTAAAGTCGAGGTTATCACTGGATTGTCTCAATAATTGGGTATATATTCAGGTGGTTTGGAGTGTATTGTGTAAATATATTATATATTTCTCAGATGAAACTCTGATAAATATATCTAAGTAACCAACAGATTCGAATCTGTAGAAACTGATAGGGACTTTCACTCGTCAACCTTTGTCTACAGCCGCAGTTTACATAATCATTGCCTTTAGTTTGGAAATGAGTTCAATCAATACTACCAAAACTTAGAGTTGATGAATCATCAATGGCAGCGTTCATTGCTAAAATTTTTGTCATTAAAAATCTCAGACACTCAAATGAAATATATAGAAAGATATTGTGTCGCTTGGTAAACACCGTATGAATGATAAACGTGTTAATTGCAGCTTGCGTTTATCTGAATTCGAATGAACACGGGACAGGTATCTTTCAAGGATTTGCATACTCATACAAAAAATGTGTGCATAAAGTTGCTATTTAGATTTATGATGAGATTCTTGATCTTAAGTGAACTTTCTTTTCATCTGTTATGCTACTCACCTACCATAGTACTGATGAACTCATTTCAACTATTTGTATTTCTGTTAATAAAGTGGGGATGTCTATTTTCATTCAAATGCACCTGTGGTAAATAATGAATGATAGGTTACCTAAACTGCAGGTCGCAGTGCACTTGCGAAATATTAGTTAAATATTAAGAAAGGGGAGGTTATTCAGTCGTTCAGCTGATGGATTCTTACGCTGAAACTTCCATACTCATGATGTAACGACAGAAGGCAAGAGTCAGGCAACAGATCGTTTATTAAGGAAAATCAACACATATTTATAGATTTTAATGTACATTATTGTAGATTATTGTTAGTAGAAAATACAGTCTTTTGATTGGTTGTTTCTCTTTGTGGCTGTGTCAGATCATCTATATGCTAACTGTATCCGCCTACGCAAAGTCTCCTGTCCATCTTTGACCTTGTTTTCACATGACTAATATTTGAAACATTAACGTTGACGTCAATTACTGTCTACCAATTTGGCTAGCAACCATCTTTCACCACAATGACATTTCCATCCCCAAGTGTCTGTTAAAGACACTTCTAAAACAGTAAGAGTCACGTTTAGTCGGAATGACGAACTCAAATTTCTGGCTTAAACAGAACTGGTAATAGTTCGACATGTTCTCGATATTCAGCCAATTTACACCCAGCGTTGGTCCTACAGTGAGTTGCTTGTGGTGTTATCCCACAACATACATGTCTATCTCCTATTAATTTGTTTATTAGATGTATCACCCAGTGTAACAGTATTATTTACTGGATGACGTTTCGAACATAATTATCATATCAGTTGTAACTACATAATTTTGAAACTCGATACTTATAGTTCTCTTCCTTCCCTCCAATTTATCGTGGGAGTAATAGAATGGTCCAGATGTCCGGGACAGGTGTTGAATAATTCCCATTGCACATGTTCTCAGATGATTCGATAAATAAAGCATTGGTTATCAGTCTTCCCCCTCCACTTTATTGTATTAGATTTGAAAACTGTCATCTTGTCACATCGTATTTTGTGGTTGTATGTAGTGCTATGGTTGAGCTATATTCTCGATTTCTTATCTTTTTAGGGTCAACTAATCTAGATTTTGCTAGTTTTTGTGCTCCGCTAGTCTGATTGATTTCACCCTACTACTTTGACCCATTGCAGGCTATCAGATAAACGAAAAATGGTTATCCAGATAAGTTCATTGAGAAAAATATGAACTTAACACCAGGGAGAGTCAGTATAGCAACAGCTCCACAAAAACTATTGTTCATAAACCTGCAGTTCCTCGGTGACAAAATCAGCGAAATACTAACAGCGCCTGGAGAATGCAGTTAAAAAAGTTTTCACTGCTGCGGAGGTACGTGGTCTCCTCACTACCACCCCTATTCGGCGTTCGAGAAATAAGGATGAATTACTCAATTTCGCCTCCTCTATGTGTATCTACCAGTTTGACTGCGGTTGCGAAGCCATCTACATTGGGCGTACAATTATGCAGGTTCATTATCGTATTTTCTAACATCATCCTGCATGGTTAAGCAAGGGAAAAACAGAATCTATTCGTAGCTCTGTTTTAGCACACCTTGTAGATAACGAGCATAAAGTTGATATTAACACAGCATTTAAAATTATTTGTTGCATTGCTATTAATCTTAATTTTGCTTTACGAGTCCGCCTTCCACATACAGCTTAAGCCATAGGAATCCACCTGAATAAGCCAAACTTGTGTGTTCAGAAGGAATTTTCACACCCACTTTCCTGACCCTGGCTATCGTTACATGAATGTGTAAACTGGACTACCTCACCCCAGAACCTTTAAAATTATAATTGTCCAAATTATTTTTTTTCTATTTTTCTAACCATTTCATCTTTAATCACATGTTATTATTGTTGTAATCATTTCTACCCCTTAATTGTTTGAATTATCTATCTTGGTTATTCTCAAGCCCCGTGAATATGTTGATATTGATTAATTATTGCTAACAAACACGTTGCCACGTAATTGGCAAATTGTTGTGTATTGCAATGAAAATGCTATATTTGTAACGACAGAAGGCAAGAGTCAGGCAACAGATCATTTATTAAGGAAATCTACGCATATTTATATATTTTCATGTACATTACTATGGATATTTAAGTAGACAAA